AAATTCTCCCAGGTCTTGGAACACAGGGAAAAGTTAATTTGTCCTCTCTGCACCTGCTGCAGTGTTCAGCAAAAATCACATGTAGTTTTTTTTTCCACCAAAGTAGTAGCAACAGTGGGGAATAAATGTTTTCTTCATGACATGACCTTATCTTGTTCAATAAATCAAGTAACAAGTCCCTCGTGTTTGGAGTGAGAGAAGGAACATCAGGTCTGATATTTTCACTTGTGTCAAAGTGTGCATGTGCATTTTTAAATCTTGCCTATATGCATTTGGTAAATGAAATAGTGGCAACTCTAGAATAAAGTTAACATAAGAATAGTAGTAACAGAAATAATTTGCTTTACACTGAACTGGGGAGAGGAACAAAACCATTCTTCCCCACAGTGCAACGCTCTTTCCTTGCTGTCCTGTGCCACATCAATCCAGGCACGCTGAGCATCCTGCTGCCACCAGCAGTAACTTCTATGCCCACTCTGTGTGGATGCTGGGAGGGTTGCATTTCCCTGAGCATTCCCTGCCTGCTCTGCACAGAGAGTGCCTTTTGGCTGGTCCTAGGTGGGCTCAGAAAAGAGTCCTGGCCGACCTCTCAGATGTTGCACCAGATAAGAAACGGGTGTCTGCCCTTCCGAGGGCTTCTTGTTTGGGAGTCTGCACTGAGCAGTCCTTGTAGGTTTAAATGGAGGTGGATGACAGACAGTGCTGACAGTGTTATAAAGCTGGTGTGGTCAGAGTTCAGGATACAAGAGAGTAAGCTGGGGAGAAAATGGGCCTCTGCCTGGGTCAGGATTCATCCCCACTTCCCCTAGAGGGTGCAGCTATTTCCATTGCTTTATCACTAGGCTGGTGTTTTAACCTGATACTGCAAAACCAGTGATGAGTAGACCATGCCTTCCATACATCTTGTATTTTAACTAAAGCTGGAGAACTTCCCCAGCTGGGCTCAAGGATGAAGACAACACCATACAATATCTTAGGATGATCTTAGAAGGATAACCTTTTTCCAAAACACATTTAACTCCATGAGCTCAGCAGTGACTGCTGTGAGAGCAACATAACTTTGTCACGTACTGACCTTTTGTTGAGCAGCAGACTGCAGAAGAAATCCTGGTAATAATGAGTCAATACTTAGAAAAGACTTGCTGCTCTGATAACAGACATATGTACATAATTAGCAATTTCAATGTTCATTTCTTTGACTTCAGATTGCATATACTTGGGTATTTGTCAAAGGTAGGCAGCAAAAAGGGCCATGATAGTACAGGCATGGGAACAAGCATTGCCTTCAGAAACCAGCTCCTCTGCAGGTATGAAACAGTGTCACCTACTCCTGTCACACAAGGTCCTACATTCAGAGAGGCTACTGGGCTAAACATACCAGTGTCAAACTGGCATAAACCAGGAGTAAATATACAAATCTCTCCTGTCTTTCACTCTTCCTGGGGGGAAGTGGTTTTCTAGTATCTCAATGCAGTGCTGCTGCAGCTTCATGGCCATGTCTGCCAGCACTTTTCTCTGCAGCCAGAGCAAGGTTACTTCTGCTGCTGCTGCTTTACTTTCTTCTGCTGATAATATCAGGGAACATCATTCATGTCCTCTGGGAAACTGCATTTGCTTGGCTTACATGGGCCATGGCACCATGGGGCGGCCTCAGCTAGCTGGGCTCCCTGTCACCCTTCTCAGGGTCTCAGATACCTTCAGGGAGCACATGATGCCTCCAACTCAGCTCCATGTGGTGCAGGTGCCTGTCCTTTGTGCTGGGATGGTTTGCACTGACTTGGTGAGATCGTGGCAGAGAAGATCTGCAGACACCACCAGCAGTGCTTGTTTGCCATTTGTATACTGCATGGGGTGGTATTCTGCTAACATACTTTCAGGAGTAAAAATCAAGAGTTAGAGGTTAAAGCTGATGAAATTCTGATGAATTTGAAACAAAGTTCAATAAAAAGCAGATGGTGTTTTTAATAATTCTTTTTCCACTCAGTTAATGAGGCCAAATGTTCAGAAAGTTCTCTGTAAATATATCACCCTGCTTTTCAAGCATCTCAAAAAAATACTGCAACTACAACTTTAATAAGACAGGCATCCTCCCAAAAGGGCAGTAACCTGCCCTTTATTGGCCTCATGTCAACACTTGGCAGCAAGCAGCCATTTCTTGCCTCTGATGCTCCTCTGTTGTGTCACTTGTTCCTAAAATAGCCTCGTTCCTTAGCACTCATACTTGTGTTCAGATGGCGGGCAGCCACACAGAACCTGCTGTCCTGAAGCACAGATTGCAGGGATTTTAGATTTTCAAGAGGCAGGGAGCTTCCCTGTGGATTTGGAGGAGGCAGCTTACCCACCTCTAATTGAAACCAGCCTCATTGTGCTGGGCTCGCCAGGAGCAGCCTCCTCTCACCCTGCATTACAGAGTGTGGAGGTCTGTATCCAACCCTGTTGGTCCAAGGGCCTTTTACAGGCTTCTTTCTCTTCAGGAGAGAGAAGTGGGCACTTCTGGGAAAGGACATGGCTCCTGCTCTCCCAAGCCTGCTTCAGAGGTGGGGAGGGAAGAATGGTGACCCACAAGTGTCCATGTCTCCCCACTGCCTGTGAAAGGAGCTTGGGTTGAGCAGCCCCTGTGCAGCCCCTGGTGCCGAGGTTGCCCCTCAGTGTTGGGCAGATCCCTGCTGGGGTGCCTTGGCTGGTGGCCCCGGGGCTTTGCCCACAATGCTGTGGCTGTGCACAAGCCCTGGCCAGTGTCCCTGGGCTGAGCCAGCCCTGTGTGACAGCAGCTGTTGTGCCAATCACTGTGGGGCTTGGAGCCTTCACACTCGAGAGGAAATTCGGCAACATCCAGGAGTTAAGAGCGCAAACATATAATCTCCTCCTGCACACACTCTGTATCAATGACTCTTATAAATGCTTAAATACCTCACCTTTGTGGAAACTTTGCTATGGGATGGAAACTGATAAGAAACTTATTGTTTTCAGCCCCTCAAGACTGTTCCTTCCCGCCGGTGTTCAGCACCATCGCTCTCATTCAGCAAAGGTTTGAGCAAGCCGTGGCTACCTTCAGCCAGGTACGTACATTGAGTGGCTGCACAGTGTTTGATGCCCAGGAGCAAGGTGATGCACCTTGGCTTGCCCATGCATGTGTCCCATGGCTCTGCTGTCAGTGTCCTGCACTAGAGGACCCCAGGTGAGTCACAGGTGAGGGAGTGTACCTGTGGTGCCTGGGGTGACTGAGCTGGCAGAGTTGGGACTGCAGTGGGGGCTGCTGGTATAAATGGGATGGGTGGGAGAGGTGGTGGGAGCTGCACTTCCTGGCATTGCACCCAGCTGCTCTTCTCATCCTCCCAGCAGGCCTGTGCAAGCCCAGCAGGAGATAAGCCTCTTCCCTCCATCTCTCCCACCCCATGGCAAGGGCTGCCAGTGCTGGCTCCTGGTTCATATTAGCTTCTGCTAATGCTGTTGAGAAGTCCCCATTGGCAGTTTCTCATTGGTACATTCTGATTCTTTGTTTTCCTCCTGTTTTCCGTTCCTTTGGATAGAAAAGCCTCCTAAATAGGCAGAAGAGTTGCTTGTGATAGCATTTACTGCTTTGTTTTATGACAGGTCATGACTTACCTACACAAACCAATGGGAAATACCTGCTGATGCTAGTGACGGCAGGTTAGAGGCTAACCTGCTGATGATAGCCTCCTTCCTTGATTAAACTGTTTCCAATAAGCAGAACACTGTTATTTGAACTGCAGCTATTTCACTGCAATGCCCTGCTTTCCCCTCAAATAAACCCAGTGCTGTTAGTCAAACAGCACTGCTAACTGGGCACGGTGGTGTTGCAACTGGGCTCATTATGTGTTGCAAAAAAAATCTTCCAGGGAAAAGGCAGAAAGGGCACAAATATCTTGGGTCTTCCTCTTTCAAAAATCTGAGGCCTGGAGCACTCCTTGCATGGAGAAGGGGGCAAGGTGTGCTGTGTGAGCGCTTGTTAATTATTCAGCAGTTATGTCTCTCTTCAGAGAGAGCACATTTTTTTGCATTCATTGCTTGACATGAACATCAGGAGCTGTCAGACTGTGAGAACGGCTGAGTTTAACACATTTTTCTTTTGCTGGAAACATTCCTGATTGGAGTCTGTGAAGTGGCTCTGTGTGACACCTCCTGGCTTGCCATACGGCTCCATCTCAGAGCCCAGAATCATCCTGCAGCCCAGGAGGACAGGAGGAACTCAAATACTGAATGAGTGCCTAGGACTCACTGCTCTGTTTTCATTAATGCCACAATTTGGTAGGTGTTACAAGTGAAAAATACTATCACACACCCCATCCTACCCTTCTCCCTACAACAGCTACAGCCTGCAGGAAAAAGGGGCTGTAAATGTCACTATAGGAAGGAGACAGCAGCATCCCTGTGTTAGCTGGTGATGTGGATGATGAGCTGGAGGGGCAGTTGTGCCTCTTGTCCAGCACTGAGTTCCTCCATCCTTCAGCCTCTGGCTTTGGTTTTTGGACATCTGTCTATGAGAACAGAGCGTGCTGGGCAGTGCCTCATCCTTACTTCATGCTTAGTATGGGCCCCCCCTCTCATTTCTGCAGGAGGCAGCATTTATCAAGAGCTCCTGCAGAGCATTCTCAGTGGTCTAATCCACATTGTTGCTGGTGCCATCAGCTAATTTGCAGCTTGTGCCAGCACCTAATTTTGCTCCTCCAAGCGGTGGTTCAGCAGTAGCTGCCACCTCCCTTTGCCCTGAGTCTTTCCTCCACATCCTCTCCAGGCAGTGTGGGCAGGAGAGCTGTGATGGTTTTCACACTCTGCTCCTGGGGGTGGCTGCCTACTTAGCCTATCCCTCAAGCAGAGCTAATCCCAGCAGCCTGGACAGAGCCCCAGTTTATTCAGCATCTGCCTCACAGCACTAATGGCCACCGAGGCCTTCAATCAGCTCATCTTACAAAATAAAGTATCATTTCTACTGAATACATTGGAGTCAACAAGTACACAAAACCTCTGAGGTGCAGAAGTTGTGAAAGTCAGGTCAGACCAATTTTACTTTGTGCTGCACACACAGTCCTCACAATCTCCTGACCAAGTCACTGGTGTCTTCACTGTGACATGAAGCAATGGAGAAGGCCCACAAGGCCCTATGAAAAGTGATTTTTGAGTGTCTGTGATCAGCACACTCTAATCAGCCTTAAAATGAAAAATGTCATTTGTGTCTCAAAAAATGCTGCGATCTTGGGCAACACTCCAGACTTGCTGTCTGCAGACATGGTCTAAAGCTGCTGGACCTATAGAAACATAAAAAGAAAAGCCTCTATTACACTTCACAGCAGGAAGGTAGAATTATTACCCACCTTCATAAAGCTGTCACCTTTCAGGATGGAGAGAGTCACAGGTTAAATATTCCCTGATTTTTTCTTTCTGTGCAGGCTGTAAGCTCTGCATATACCATGGACCACTTACTGGAACACTGCATAGCCACTACACAGTGAAGATGAATTTCTCATGGCAGCAATAGCCTTTGTGGGTTGGTTGCCAAACCGTGAACCATCCAGTCCTGACTGTTCTCAGTCTAAATGTGATTTTTTTCTTTCCCCTTCAGAACTTCATAAACAACTAGACTGGACTAATGCAGGTGATTGTTGAGACTGTACCATAAGTAATTTCCAGAAAATGGATTAATTTATTCATCCTGCAGGTTCAGTGGTTTAGAAGCTGGTGTCATCCATCACTAAAACCAAATCTTTCACACAGGTTATATTCTAATCAATTTGTGCAGATCCAGGCATTGCATGAAGAGTTGGCTTGTGAGATAAGAGTCACTGAAGTGTCTGGTTTCTGAACCTATTGAGAAATTATCAGTAGCCTTAGGAAAAGGTAACATAAGCATAATCCTGTGCTTATTTTCTGGTTATTAACCAGAAGAGGCCAATCAGAAATCCCTTGGATTTATGTTGGAAAACTACCAATGACAAATTTCAGGAAGGCAAACCTTTTGCTTTAAAAGAAATATCCTCCATAATAAACTGAGGCCATAAAGAAACTTATTCCTTGGGATTTCTAGAGGGTATTTTCTGAGAGTTGATGTTTAATTTGTACCAGACATCTTGTGTACCTCTGGGGCTGAGTTTGCATATTGCTAATTTGGTGCTAACTTCATTGCCCACTCCTGACAGGGATGACATTAATTAACATGCATCCTCTTCAAATATTCATGGGGACAGGATTCCTATCCCACAGGTTTTTCACTGAGTTTTCCACTCATGTCATGTTGGAGATGTCAGTGGACCCAGACCAACCCTTGCTGTGACTGCAGATGCAATTGCAGGAGCTGAGAGGAGCAGGGTACTGAAGACAATGCTCAACTGGCTTTCAGGAGAGTGAAGCAGGTCTTATCTGCAGCCCTTAGTGACATTTGGGAAAGTCATTTAACTAATAACTCTCTTGATTTCCAGCCTGATAATGAAGCTAGCACTGCATTTCCCTGTGGAGGGAAACATAATTTTGGGGGGGGTGTTCTTCACACTGGAAGAACAAGGAGTGGGGGAGCTTGGGCTCTGTGTGGTCTTTTCTGTGTTACCCTGGCTCCTTTTCGGGCCCCGGCAGCCAGGTCTAAGCAGGGAAGCACAGCATGTGCTGAACTCTCCTGCAGAGATGCTGGATCTCATCCCTTCAGTAAACTGAAGATCTGATTCCTGTCATCATGCAACCCCATTTATTTGCCTTTTTATTCTTGCCATGGCAAGCTGAGAAAGCTCAGGCAAGTGCCTGCAGAGATGCAGAGGGGGTGAGTCATGCAGAGTCTGGGGGCTGACAGCAGAGACCCTTGCGTGGAAGGTTGTGGTTAAGCGAGATAGGAAGGTTTCTGGCCGGCCACAGAACTGAAGTGGGCAGGTGTCAATGAGTCAAGTGAAGGTTACTGCAAAACACAATTTCTGAAGGTGAAATCAGTGAGGTTGCTGGTAACACCATGGAGTTTCATGGGTCAGCTTGAAGTTCGATTTCCTTTCCATACCCTCCCATTACTCCTTGACATCCATACTGCTCCTGCCCTTCACTTTTTCTCTTCATTCACTTGAACTAACTTCTATTTTTCACCCTTTGTGCACTTGTACTAGCTAAATGTTTTAGCTCCCTTGTGTAACCAGCTGATAACAGTTCTCTGAGTTCTCTGAGTTTCTTTCATAGACTGTCTGATGGGAAATTAATGAAGAAAAATGTGATACTATCACAGGACCAGCTGAAAGGAGGCATAGCAGGCAGGGTGCTGCTTTTTAGGGGGAAGAGTGGGCATCCACCCCATGCTGTGGTTCAGACAACCTTCAGCAAGACATTTCACCTCTGCACCACAAGTCTCCATCTGTAACAGAGGGTTAATAATGCTGCTTCTCGTCATAAGGATAAGGATATGGTGAGGAAAGGAGAAGTTAAGAACTAAACACAGTGATGGGGCTGATTAATTTGGAGGTAGGTATAAGACAATCAGGGACTGCACAGACCTGGAGTAAACCCAAAATATGAGGTTTTTTCAGGGTAAGATTTGTCTCTGTATTAACTCTAAGCATAACAGGACTCAGATACATGCAAGAGCCCTCTCTTTTTATAATACAAGTAATAAGTGAAAGTTCTTCATATTAATTAAGAGCAATTTCCCTGAGAAGGAGTTTTGTGAAAACAGGCCTATTTATAACCACAGAATAATGTATCCAGCTTCTCATGTGGGTTGGTTAAAAACAATTCAATTGCAGTGGACCATAGAGGCATTCACACAGCTTTAAAAAGACTGGAGGGTCTTCAGGAGTTACTGCCCTGTTCCCACTTAACATCATTCCCTGTCTGGAAGTTATAAACAGGGAACAGGCTGGTGGGTGCTCTGGTTCCAGTTCTGCTATTCTGTATTGCAGTGTTGTGTGATGGAGCTTGAAGTAAGCTGGAGACTTCTCACTGGAGATAAACCTGGGAGCACTCACTTGCTCTGTTTCACCTGCCGACTGGTGGGAGCAGAGTGCTCATGAGGTGGCCAATGACAAGCCACACCCAAGCCACAAGCTGCTGGGCAGCAGCTGCTGTCCTCACAGATGCTGACCTCACAGATGCTGACCTGAACAGCTGTTCTACACAGGGCAGAACCTGTACTTCCACCAGCACATCTTGTTTAAAATAGCATAACTTTTATTATGTGTCCAAGCCTTAGTCATAATCAGCTTATCTCTAAACAGTTAATCATTTAATTTTACTTCTAAATGTAGCTCTGAGGTAAGCCAGAAAAGGTTTTCATGACCTTTCTGCACACACAGAGCTATTCCTATTTATGTGCCACAAGGAATGCAGCAGCATGTGCAATGTTGCCTAGGACTTAGCTGAGTCCGTCAGCACTGTGGACCTCTGGACAAACTTCATAAATGTCCAGTGGTGCTAATGGGATGCTTGTAGAATACAGGATTCTTCATTAAAATAATAATAATTAAAAAAAAAGTTGCACCCAGAGGAGACCTCAGAGGGATGGGGGCTTCAGTGCTGTGACCCTGTTAAAAACTGTGTCTGAGAAGAGAGAGTCTCAAACCGAAAGATGCACTGATGGAAATCAGGAGCATCGTGTTGCGGCTAATTAACACCCATGACAGCTAACATCCTGTCTGCTGCTGGAAAGGAAACATGCTGTGGGTGTCCCGAGGCTGACACTCATGCCTGCCATCCCCCTCGTGCTGCTGCTGCAGGGGGGGCAGCACAGCCAGCAGTGTGCCAGACATGCAGACCACTGCCACCATGGGCACTCCAGAGCCTTCATCCAGGACCCTCCCATCCTCTGCGGCATGAGGCAGCTCCAGAGGCCTCCTGGGGCTCAGCAGGGCATCTGCTCTGCTAGCAAACATGTTGCTGTCAAGGATTTTCCCCATCACTCAAACAGGATTGTCCTTTTGAGAAATTGCTCAGGTGTTCCCAGCACAGCACAACTCGGCCCAGGCCAGAAGCATCTTGACACCATCTGGAAACTGACACAAGCTGGACATCCCCAGCAGGCAGCTTGGATAAGGTCTCCTTTGCTTGGCAGGGTGATAGCCTTGAGCAGCAAAAATGTGGACTGCCCCATGCCAGGTCACCACAGAACCAGGGTCGAGCCAGTATTGCCATTGTCAATGTTTAGCATCTCCACAGTCATCAGGTGAGGGTACTGTGAAGAACCACCTTCTTCCCTGAGTGCAGGGTGTGGGCAGGGCCCAGCTGTGCCAGCAGTGCAGCCCTGGTCTCCACAGTTCCCTTCTCCACTTCCAGACATGAAAGGACATTGCTAATCTGCATAGACCCACTCCAGTGCCCTGAGCTGACCTAGGTGGGACTCCAAGCTAAAGCCAGAGCAAAGCCAGACTAAATGTTTCAGGCTTAGGAAAGTCTGGCATTTTTCTTTTCCTCATTACTTCCAGTCCCTCATGATTTCCTGCATGCCCAGAGAAAATTCACTTTGTTGTCCTCCTCAGCATCCTCCCAGGGAGGAATACTGAGATTTATGGGTGACTAAAAAGCAGATGAGAGCCGAGTCCTGTTGTTACCCTAATGCAAAGGCACTTGGCGTGTCTTTGTGCAGCCCACTTATGCCAGTGGCAATGGGAACCTCTGAGATCAGGGAACACAATGGGCTGCAGGGCCATCTCAATGCTATGAGAAGTCCCAGGGCTGAGTTGAGACATGTAACACTCATCCTTCCCTTCCTTAGGTATGCCTGAGGCAGTGCCTGTTCCATGGCAGGGAGTCTTTGGTGTTTTCTAAAGCTAGGAGAGCCAGGAAAGTCTCATCAGAGTGAGGCATCTCCAGGTTTGTTTGGAGATCAGTTTTGAACTGTGCCATGATGTCAGTCTGTATGGACTGTTTTGTCACCAGCAAGAGTGGAACCAGAGGGTTTCCTTTCACTCTCTGCCTGTGGTCTCACATTTGGCAGGGTTTTTAAGTTCAGTCACACAGTTATGCAATGCCTCTACTGTCAGGCAATCTCCTGCTAACCAGGCCCAGGAATACTTAGCTCCCAGGTTTAGCCAAGCATGGGTGCCTGTAGCCTCACATGGCTGTGGGGGACCCAGAAGGGCTCTGTCCTTAAGACAGTCAAGGTCAAAATGGGTAAACACGCTCAGCTCTTACTGCAAGACACCTGCTACTCCTACTCTTTCTCCTTTCTACATATCACCTCCCACAAACAGCACCTTTCCCTTCAGTCTCCACAAAATTGGTTAATAGTTAAATGTCAACCAAAGCAGCAAAACCTTTGCAGTTCTCAGCAGTCCTGAGCTCCCTGCTGTCACTCAGCTGGCACAGTGAGCAAGGGCTGGGGAGGAAGCAGTGTGTATGTGGGTGTGCTCTTGTTGCACGAGAGAAGGGGATTACTGGAGCATCATCCGTGTTTTTCATTCCACACGTCATCTGTCACCTGCCCTGCAGAGGAAGAGAGCTAGGCAGGCAACAAGCAGATGAAGCTGCAGCTGGCTGATGAACCTTCTTATGCCTTGGAGGCATGCTTCCCACTGTGTTGCTCTGACTCTGTTCTCTTTGAGGTCCCTGAAAATGTGAGTGTTACCTGGTGTGGGAGCCAGGTGTCAATGAGATAGAAAATGCATCTGCACTTCTTAACCCTGCATGAGGGAGGCACAAGATTCCGAGCTGGTCTCAGCCCAGTTCACCTGAGGATTTGCAGCCATGGAGGGACCCACAGCTTGCAGAGGTGAATGTCCTTCCTTCCATTCAGGGCAAGTGCAGGTGTCTGTAGGCCACCCAAGCCAACGGAGGCCCCTGGTGTACTGCAGACAGGACCACGTATTTGGGTTTTATGTGGCAGCACAGACCTGTTGCAGTCTCAAACACCATCCTCTTCTCTCTGATCCCAGGCAGCAGTCACTTCCTATTGTCCCCTACTTGAAAACTAAGTGGCAGGCCCCCAGCCTACAGTTAGATCTTTTAAAACCCAGGCACTGAAGGAACCAGGGCTGGAGTCCAGCCACAGTAGTGCTCCACATATATTGGTGGGTTAATAAGAAGAGACATGCGCATGGAAATTAGTGAATCCCTTAAAGGCGTGGCCTGAGGAGATGCTGTTGGTTTTGGCATATGAAAGAAATAGCAGTTGCTTAGACTTCAAGCATCCAGTGACAAGCAAGGGACTTGAGGAGCTCCCAGGGGAGGATAAAGTATGTCTTGGTGCTTCCCATGCAACACTCATACATCAGTGGATGGATTATTTAATTTTAAATCAGTTACAGCCATAAAAAAAAAAAAAATTCCACTTACTTTAGTGTGAAAATGAAATCTCACTGAGTTGCCTATCTCTGGCTAGGAGGAGGGATTTTAGCCAAACTCATTGCATCTATTTCCTAGTAAACAATATAATCCAGAAAAAATTAATATATATATAGTCAACTAATGTATTTCTAAGCCTCTTGTACTGTCTGACCCCACAAAATTCATCCAGGAGGATGCCTTAATCCTGTCCTCACTGTGCAGCCACTGTGTGCAAGCTCTTAAAAATGCTCTTGGTAAAAAAGGCTTCTCTATTCTCTGAGTCAATCTCTATACTCTGTATACAGGAATTTTATCAACATTATTCTGCTCAGGTATGAATTTGGTTTTCCTTGAGATGGCAGGTGTAAAGTTTCTGGGGGTCCTGGCATCCCCAGAATCATGGGAAAGCTGTCCCCACCTCTCCTGCAGCCAAAGGTCCACAGCATCTCTGGACAGACCTGTCCACCAGTGACCAGGACCATGGCACCTGGCCTCAGCTTTCCTGAGGAATAGCATAGCTCTTTTATCCTCTGAGTGTTCATGCTCCATATCATGCTTTAATTAAGGTGGATGATGGAAACTGGAACAGGTAACTTGTTTTAAAGCACCTTTCAGGTGTTTGTTACCCAGACAACCACTTGTAAGGAAGCTTTTATATACTCAAAGCTTGATGTGACTTTTGGGTATATATAAAGCAATTAGCAGAAGTAAGGAAATTAAGTTAGAAAAGTGTTTGAAACAGTGGGACTGAAGAGTGTCTGACACATTGGTGTCTGTATTTTTTAAAGGACTTGGAAACATGATGAAACTGCAGAAAGAAGAACCCTTAAAAACTGCAGAAGGGTTTGAGAAAGCCCTGCAGAATGAATCTGAAGGATATCAGTGGGGGTAACATAGTAAAAGGAAGATCAGAAGATGACTCAGGTTGTATGTGGATGTGTTCATGTAGGGGAAACAACTGCAAGATGAGGCTCTTGAAAGTAGGTGAAATTGGTGTTAGGAGAAGAGGTAGCTGTGCAAACTGGGAAAAATAGAATATGAAAATAACAATGCTGTTAATAAGCCTTTGTGAAAGTTTGAACTGCAGTGAACCACACACTCCTGGCTGGGTTTGCTCCAAGACTAACCAGATGAGATTCCAGTGTGGACATGCAGCCAGACTAGATGATTCCATGAGCTATTTCCTGGCCTTGTGGATGAACATCTGTGTTCATGTTGCCTGTTTTCCTAAGGAAAAAAAAAAAAGAGTTTATTCTGATTGCCATTTCTTCATCCCACAGTTTCATCTAAGCACAGTTCCATCATCCTCTTCAAAGTGTTGTTTATGTAGCTCTGTAAGGCCCAGGCCAGATCTCACCCTTGGCCCTTCTCCCAGCTCAGAACATGACTCTGATATGTCACTTCCAGAGCTCCATTTCAAAAATTAAGGCCCATTTGCAGGATGGCAAAAGAACAAGCATCTAACGGGACAAAACACATCCTGATGCCTCTAGAGAGGCAATTCCTGAGTTTCTTGGGCAAGCAGGAATATTTAACTACAGCCAGCCACACAGTTACAAGGTTTTCTGCCATTGTAAGGTTTGACCTATGGTGACTTTGGATCACAGCTTCCCAGAAACCCAGCAATCAGCAGAAACCCTATTGATCATGTCTCACAAATATCAAGTAAAATTAATTTTCCTACCTCTTATATATATATATATATATTCTTCATATATCTAAAAATAATCCCTGAAACCCCCCCATTTTAAGTGTTTCTTGAAAAATAACAAAAAACCCCAAGAAGCTTTGTAGTCAGTTATAAACAGGCAATGGGAAAATCCTGCACTTGACTAATTGTAGCACTGTGGCTCAGCTTTGTGTTTGGGGATTTCTCAAAGTTTAACTTCTGCATGAGTGAGCTCAGAGCCAAACTGAAAGTGAAAGTCTCTGCTTGGAGCCATGCTGAGCCAACCGCAGGTGAGCTGGGTAAATCTGCAACTCTGCTTCTGACCCACACCAGACTAATCAAATGGGTATTTTTGGAGCTAGCTTGAAGAAGAAACTTGAAAGGAGCTCGATTTCTTAAGAACAGCTGCTCAAAATCTTATTTTTGGCAGGCTGCTGGGAACTTTGGTCCTGAAATTGGAAGAAGTGTATGAAGTTGTCTCACGTTTTGAATAGCTGGTCTTCAGCTGAAGAGATGCTATTTTATTTAGTGAAAAAATTTTACATTCAGTTAAAATTTCATGGTGCAGAAGTAATTTTTAAAAGCTTCAATCTTCCCTTCATTTTGTGAAGAGACGAACCTCATGTATTTTTCCTCAGCAAATTTACCACTGTGGCCCTGCTGGAGGCTCACATCTAGATAGGTGGCTGGGGGTAGCAGCACCAACAAGCAGCCATAGCTTTGTCCTCAGCACCTGGCTCATCAGCCTGGACTTGCTAAAGGGCATGTCCCTGGCCCCAGGGAACCTGCTCACATCCTAACTTCAGAGAGCCTGCTCAGGGCACAGCTCTTCAGGCTGTTATGCTTAGGTTATAAAAACATTTCCCAGGAAACTGGTAGCAGGTTCTTCATTTGATAACCTGGTAACCTTCTCCTTGCACAGACCTCAGGTACCTGTTGTACCAGGCAGAAAGCTGGTCCCTGTGTCACCTGTGGTGCTCTGATTTGGCTGAGCCCCAGGCCCTGTGCTATAATAAGCAAGGTCAGTAATAATCATGCTGATGGTGAGATCAACAACAGCAGAGTCAATCAAGTGTGCCCACCCTCGGACCATAAACCCAGCCTTTCTATATATACATTACATACTGACACAGTAACTCTTCCTTATCAAAACAGTCAACTCACTCTTTGTAGAATCAAAGAATCATTGAGGTTGGAAAATACCTCCAAGATCATTGAGTCCAACCCTTAACCTGATACTGCCAAGCCCACCAAAAAACTGTGTCCCCAAATGCCTCATTTACACATTTTTTGAATACCTCCAGGGATGGAGACTCCACCACTTCCCTGGGAAGCCTGTTCTAGAGCTTGACAACTTTTCAGTGAATCTAATACTTAAGCATTCATCAGTGAGTTTCAAATCAGCCATCTGATGTTTCTTGATATACATGAAGGGCACAAGCTCTCACTTTAGGAGATCAACTTCCATAAAACCTGTGCTCACCTTAAGATCATCAATATCCACTGCTCTTCCCCACGAGTTCAGTCATAGGCAGCTTTCCTCCTCCTCCAGCTCTACTTTTCTGGTTGGATTTCTCCACTTAGGCTCTGGCAATACAGTCTCTGGTTCAGATGCTATCTGATGAGCTGAGCCTTTGAAACAAATGGAAATGTGAGAGCCAGCATATCTCTTTATTTTGAAGAAACTTTGAAATATAATCATTCAGGAGGACACTAAAGGCAGAAAGGGAATTTGCCTGGACAGTTTTGGTATGAGGAGGACTGCTAGCATAACTCCAGGCAAGTCCATAGTATAAAAAAGGTTAAGTTCAACATTTAAATGCATTTCATCTGCTTTGCATATCATAAATGTTTCTCAATTTCAGGGTCCTAGCTCTTGTTTTTTGTAAGCTTCACAGGAAAGTGGAACACGGAGGAGACCAGGCACTCTGAGGGGAATGATGGTTTTAAAGTTCTTTATCTTCACAAAAAATTGCATCAGGAATCTAGGACACTGTAGACCATAATTCAGAAAATGCTGCCACTGTAAACAGGCGCCAGCTGGATGTGTTGCAATCTAGTGTGTAAATCAATCTGACTAGAGACTCTTAGCAAAGCTTTTGCCCAGTGGGCCAGGACAGTTCCTTTGTAGTAACAGAAGGAAGGGTTTTCTGTACCCTAGCAGTCACAGAATGGGTTATGAAATACAATATTCCTGGCACCTGCTGTTTGTTTTTCTGTCAGGCTTTTGTTTTTTTTTTTCCTCTAACTGTTCTGCATGCATGCATCTAAACTCATACATGTAGTAAAAATTATGGCATCCTCCTGTGTCCTGCCCAGGTACTTGTGCTGCATATTTAGAAAAACACCACTACAAACCAGGTTAATTTTCCTTTTTGTGTCAGCATTGGAGAAAGGGACTTTGATCATTCTCCAGGGCCCAAAGACTTTGGTTTGCTTCTTAGAAAGACACTTTCCTTGGCTAAAATAATCAGCCTAAGCTCTAAATTCTTGGGGAAGAAAATACACCAACTTTTCTGACTAACTTTCTGCTACAGTCTTAAACTGCAAAGACCCCTGAACATCCTTTCTCTTCTCACAGGCAAAACATCCAGCCCACACACAGGTCAGTCAGGCCACAGCTCCTCACTGACTTTTTGCTTTCCTCCTACATTCAAACAAGTTGGTAATACTTTGTAAACCCCACATTTCTTAAAATAGTCAGGGGATGAATTAATTTATTGGTCTGAAGGGGTGGGAAATAACAAAGGCTGCACCTACTGATTCAGCCTCAATTGCGGTATTTGTCTTACTGATGGACAAAGTGCATCTTCTGCTTCCCATCAATACTATTCATGTCTGCTGAAAAGTGACTTATCAGAGAGAGATGACCGAAAAAGATCAGAAAGACATAAATGTATTCTTATTAATTTCTTCTTAAAGCCAGTTCACATGTAGTTTTTCATTTCCATTGTTTAGAGTAATTAAAAAAGTTTCAGTTATTTTTCACATACTGTATTAGACACACTTCCCATGAGAAATTTCCCCAGAAGGCACCCAAAGTCAGAATTCTTAAAATCAATTTGCAATGCCACTTTTGTGATACTGTGGTATGTGTTTTGGTTTAGGTTTTTTTTGTTGTTTTTTTTTTTTTCCTGCTGAGAAGCACAAGAAGGAGCAGCAGTCATTTCTAGTTCTTTGGAGTTTGTTTGGTGGTGGGGAATTTTTCCCATTTATTTATTTCCTGATAGGGCTACTGGAAATTGAAAATTTTGTCTTTATTTTTCTTGGCTGCTTCTTGGGTGGCAGACGAAAAAGAATTGCAGCTCAGCTGACACCTAAAGAAGAAAGGCTGTGCTTTTAATGGAAATATTTTCATCTGCCTTCTTCAGCAGACAGCACATCATTTAAAGGTGCCTTTGAGGGAAAAATAGAGTAATTAAACACATAATTTTGAGTGTAAGCTCATTCAAGTGTTTTTCATCTTGCTTATGTTGCATGAGAAGACTAATGCAATAAAAGAACACATTAATCCACTTAGTGAATGTCCCCACTTTTTAACATGAGTGTATGCTGCTTTACAAAGAACAACCAAAGTAAGGATCTTTCTGTATGTGGCTGAGAGAACAGTGTGGTGAGAAAAGCAGAGGCTCTGGCACAAAAAGGCTCTTCTCTCTTCAAGGGCAGCAAGCTCACAGTCCCACTGCCAAGACCTAACACAAAAGGGCAGCATATGTGTGACAGCTAGCATGGATTAGACAAAAGTTTGTTAAGTGATTCTGCTTTGGAGGGTAGAAGGTACTCAGAAGAATGCTCTGACTCCCTACCAGCAATCTTTCTTTTGAATTCCCTGCTCTTCTTCTCATAGGAGCAGAAGCTGATGATAATTGAAAAATTTTCATCAAAAATTTCATTAAAATTGAAATAGTTACCAGTGTACCATTATTCAAACTTTTTCTAGGAAAACAGCCTTTAATTAAATAAGAAACTAAATTGGCCTACTGCTATATGCTTTTCTCTAGAGTAAATAAAATTAATAAACTAGAGGCTTGGAAGAAAAACCTTCTTATAAAGGTATGAGGTCTGCAACTATTTCTGAAACAAGTAGCATAATTTGCCATTAGAGATAGCAACCTGGATTAGGTGGTTCGGGAGAATGATCCAGCCTGCTAATTCCCTACATTCCTATGTTTTATGTACACTAGTTTTCTCCAACAAAACGGACCAAGCTGAAAACTCAACCATGTTCAAGACTTCCATGAGCTGCTGAGTATTTGGGCATGGAGGGTATGTGGGTAGTATCAGTACTAAGCCCTATCAGTAGGGGCTTACCACCACCACACATCTTCACAAATCTTGGTTTCAATCACAACTACAAGCAGAAGTTCCAAAATAGCCCAAGAAAGGAAGTTCCCCAAGTTGTTTTTAAAATCAGGAAGTGGAAGGATGCTACTAAAGCCTCCAGAACTAATACAAATGCTACTCATTTGTCTCATTCACAGGGTATGCCATTCTCACTGAATGCTTCTGTAGCTCAGACTTTTTTGGGCTTCCCCATCATTGAGTATATTTTAAAGACAACGTAAGGAGACTGTGTTTGGCTGCTCAGAAAACCACAGCCCCTGGGGATCAGACTGTAACAAAGAAGCCTTCAGATTAGGTGTTGCCTCGGGATTTGCTCCACAGACACCTCAACACACTCAGCACAGAGAAAGGGCAGAGTAGTCCCCTTAAATGGCCCAGAACAGTATGGCCCAGAACTATAATTGATATGAATTATAAATGCAGTCTGAAAATCTGCCCAGATGTCCCTATTTTTTTTCCCAAGTAAAAATGACAGACTCGTGTAAGCACACAAACGCTGCCTACCTGTGTATATAGATGTCTGCATTTATTGGGATTGATCCTATTAATTTTTTTTCTTACACAGCGCACTTTTATCAGGAAACAAAGGTAATAAATAGTCAGAGAGACTCTGTCCAGCCTCCTCAAAATGCAGGTTTTTTTGTTCAATTTGGGATAAATATATAGAATACCATCAGCTCAGAGAGCAGTGGCCAGGAGTTTGTCTGTTACAGTAGCTGTGCATCCAGTGTTGTCTGATAGCCATGGAAGACTAAGGCTGGGAGCACTGTGTGTACTTCCCAGCACAGAGTACACAGGCTGATGGCAGCTGGTGTGAACCAATTTGGTGAAACAATTAGAGCTCCCTGACCTTCCTCCTTGCCCTGGGGTTTCGAGGTCTGGCTTCAACATCTTTCAGGTTAGAAAATACTTGCAAAAGGTTAAGATTCCTACTCTGAAAAGATTTGTTTGTTTGATTGCTTTTTCTCTGCCTCTAATGATGCCTCACACTGCAAAGAAAAGAAACATGGAGAAGTCTGTGAACGGGCTGGTAGTGGTCCTGGGGACCAGCCAGGATTTGGGGAGATCTGAAGAAGAATCAAGCTACCTCGGGTTGTGTCTTTCTCACCTTGCCTTGCAAAACTCATATTCTCCATCTGTCTTTTGTCCTGGAAGTGGGGAGGATGGCAGAGGTGCTGCTGTTCTAACATTGCAATCAAATGAGGCTCTCATCTGATGGGACACTGAGGCACCTCAGGAACATGGCCAGATACAGAATGTACCCCATTGACTTGGACTGATAAATGATATTCAGGATATTTAAAGTGCAACCTAAATGAGTGTCAGTGTTATGTCACAGAAGATTTATTTTTATTTGGGCTGATGGATACAGGTGTTAGTGTTAGTGTGTGTGTGTGTGTGTATGTGTGTGTTTTCTCACTTCTGAAGGTCTCCAAAGGATTGAAGTCATCTGTGAAAGGTTAAAACTCCCCAAGAGAAAAATATTTAAAAAATAAAAATAAGCTTGAGGCTACCCACAGGTGGTGTTGACAAATAACTGTTTCCCAGGGGTCCAAGAGAATTTTTGCCTTTTTGGGCTGACTGAATGCTAGTTAGTGAGGCATGAATGTGACAATCATTCTTCTCTATGTTACCAAATAATCTGAAACCTTTCTCTGACTTTTTCAAGTATATTGTGGTTTGTAATCACTAAGTCAGTCAGCTGCTGTGAGGATGATAGAAGCCATGGTCATCTCAGCACTGGGGGAAGACCCAGTGGGGCAATGATGACCAGCATGTCCCTGAAAACAGAGTTCTGGTCATGGGAATGATCAATTCAGCAAATTTCTCAAACAACAAAATGTACAGAGCTGCTGTCAAAATAAAAGCACAAGTCAAGCTAGGTCACTTGTCTGGCAACAAAGTCAAGAGCTCATTTAAAAGAAATTGTGTCTGACTTGTAGAAAACTTCCATGTTGGCACTACAAGCCACTAGGCATTGAGGCAAGAGACCGACCAGCTGCCATGGATCTTATGATGCTGTCAGTCATGCGGACCAGGTTTGCAGAGAAAATCTCTCTCATGTGCCTTTTAGACATTTACTCAGCAGATCAGCTGCCATGGCCCTGGTGGAAGGCTTTCTATGCCCCTCACTTTGTATGATTCTATATGCTTAAACTTCTGCTCTCAACAGTCCCTGGCAGCCTTAATGAGAGAAATGGGCAAAGGCTCCCAGTCTCACCAAGGTGAACCTGGGCAAACTCTTACCTTTCTCTACTCTCTTGTAGATTGTTGCAAGTCTAGAAGTTATTATAAATGGTCAGATTAAAGGGACTCTTTTGTCCCTGCTTCCTTGTTAGTTCATTGCATGGAAGAAGACCCCACTTCTAGTTTTATCATCCTCCCACATGCAAACCCCTCAAAACCTGCCAGTTCCTCTCTGAGGAGGAGGATGGTGTGAAGAAATGTCACCAGTAATTACTTTCTGAGTGCACAGTGGGCTGGAACATCCTCTCGCTGGCACCTGCTATTAGCCTTCCCAGGAGGCCCTTGCTGACATGTGCAATCCCATCTGCTGATCTGCCTCTGCTTTCATTCCTTTTTTGCCTGCTTTCTGCCTGGTCTGGAGGCATAAACCCAACTGCTGTCCTGGGAGTGTCCTACACCGTGTGCCCTGGGCAAAGCTGGGAATTACTCAGTTTAGGGCATCTCCAGTGGCATGACAGGCCAAAGCAGCTATTACAAAACCATCAGGAGAAATGAAACACGGGAATCCCAGGCTTCTTTTGTCACAAGGGAGGCAGGAGGGTAGTATGGACTCATGCTGCTGAAGGGAACCTAGGCAGGTATATGAGATGCACCTCAGGGCATAAAAGAGCAGAGTGAGAACTTCTGCTGGGAAGAACAATTTAAGAGCAAGGTACTGCTGTTGAATACTGTGAGCACTATGGGTGGAAGGAAAGTGGTGGTGTTAATTCCTAATTGTCTTTGACAACCTTTGGTGATTTCTACCTCCCCAAAAGCTTAGTGGGTTTGAAGAAAATAATGCAAGGGTATTTGTATCACTCTGTCTTTAGGCCTCTGCTACAGAGAGCTACAGTCAGCAGGTACATCAAAGTTTTGTTACTAGCTGCTCTTCAACTGAAGTCTAACCACTCCTGGCAGTGTTGAGAGAAGTGTAAGCATACATACACTCTCCTGTAGGATAGCTGGTTAGCAGGGATCAGGTTAGCCAGCATTAATGGGTTGAGGCCCAGTGACAACTGGGGAGTCTCTAGTACAAATCAGCCGTGACATGTGCAAGTGCCACTAGCCATAATCAGATGATACAACAGGATGGCTTCTTGGTTTTGTCTACACTTTTGTTATTGTTGTGTATTACATGGGAAGATCCCAACACCTCCTGAATTCCTGCAAGACCTTAATGGGATTTGTATTTTGCACTTTGAATTTTAACACTACTCATAAAAGAAAATTATACGTTCTTCATTTTCCCGTGGTCATGTGTATCTCTTTTTAATGCAACAGGTTTGTGGAGAAGC